GCAAGGCCCATCTCAGGTGCAGATCCATCCACAGACACTTTGTTTTACATTTCTGCAGTGGGGTTTTCAGTGATCACTGTGGAAGTCAGTGGAATCCGTGGATGTACTGAGCATCTTTGGCAGCACAGGTGTCAATGTGTCTGCCAGATGTGTCTGGTACTCTCAGCAGTCATAAATTTACTCGTTGCTGATTGCACTCTGTTTTTATTGCTTCTACAGAGATTTACGGACTCTTTATATTGGCTGATTTACACCAGAGCCTGTTTGCTAGAAATATCTGAGTCCTGCTGCCCAGCGAGCAGGGGAAATGACTGTGGGCCAAAAAGTTTCAAAAATAGGAGCATAAGGCAAGACTGTTAAGTTCATATTTAGTCTCAAAGTGACTTCATTCTCAGAAGTTTATAGCCCTGGGCAGTTCCCACTGCAGTTGTCGAGGCTCTTGGGTGTATCTGGTGTTTTTAATGGCAAGTTCCTTGCTGGGAGGATGCACCTCCCAAGGGATACAGGGATTGCTTTTTCTTTACCCCTTGGAGACAGGGAAGAGGGGTGTCCAGATGCATTGCAGGATGCATGGAGGCCCTAACCTGGCACAGTTTGGAGCCTGGTGGTCCTTTTCATTGTGTTTTCTTCGTGCTTTCTACCCTGTGTGCCCTGGGGAGCTGTACAGGTGATAGATCTCTTTTCCCAGGCAACCAGTAGTGGGACAAGTGGGCACGGGGGAGGTTTAGGTTGGACATCAGGAAGATCTTCACAGAGAGAATTGGAATGGGCTGCCCAGGGAGGGGGTGGAGTCACCGTCCCTGGAGGTGTTTAAGCAGGGGCTGGATGTGGCACTGAGTGCCATGGGCTGGGTGACAAGGTGGGGTTGGGTCACAGGCTGGACTTAATGATCTCAGAGGTCTTTTCTACCCTCAGTGATTCTGTGATTGTGATTCTGTGATCTGCTCTGCTGAGGAAAAAAACAACCAAAATACAGCAGGAAGGGTGGGAATTCTGACTAAAATATTGTATTCTTACAGCATTCTGATGTTTCATTTAAATCTGCACATCTTTGTAACCCACGGCTTTAATGCTGCTGTTTTGTCTTTTGAAACAGTCCCTCCCAGTATTAAAGGAGGGAACGTCACCACGGAGGTGTCGTGTGGGCGCTGCTCAACAACCTCATCAACCTGGAATGCGAGGCCAGGGGGATCCCCGTCCCCACCATTACCTGGTACAAGGACGGGCAGCCCGTTATCTCCAGCCCCCAGGCTCTGTACGTGGACAGGGGTCAGTTCCTGCAGATCCCCTGTGCCCGGGTGTCGCACTCTGCCAGGTACACGTGTCGCGTGAGCGGCGCGGCCAGGGCGGCCGAGAAGGTGTTCCACGTGGATGTGTACGGTGAGAGATGGCTCCTGAGCTGGGTGTTTGGGGACAGCTGTGCTGGGAGAGTGCTGCTGCCTCTGCAGCCTGGCAGGGGCTGGCTTTGAGGGCTGGCCTCTCTGAGCAGGACCATGGACAGGGAGATGTAGACCCTCTGCTTTGTGGGAGTCTCAAACGACTCCTTGCTTCATGGAATCCTGCAGTGGGTTGGCTTGGAAGGCACCTTAAACATCCTGCAGTTCCACCCTCTGCCATGGGCAGGGACACCTTCCACTAGCCCAGGTTGCTCCAAGCCCCGTCCAACCTGGCCTGGGACACTTCCAGGGCTCCAGGGGCAGCCACAGCTTCTCTGGGCACCCTGTGCCAGGGCCTGCCCACCCTCCCAGGGAGGAATTTCTTCCTTGTATCTAATCTAAATCTACTCTCTGTCAGTTTAAAACCATCATCCCTTGTTCTATCCTTCCATGCCCTTGTCCAAAGTCCCTTCACCAGCCTTGGTACCACATCTTCTTCTGCTACACTATTTCTTCTCCATGTATCTGTTCTCCAACTCCCATCTGTATGCTGAACAATACTTACCTGGAATGCTCAGTGTGTAGGCGATCTTTAGAATGCTCTTTTAAGTCCTTCGTATTTAGTTATTCCTTCTTCAAGTCCTGCAGATCCTGTGTGTTATACAACTAAAGTGTGTGTATATATATATATAAAATACTGATGTAAATAATTGGGATTCTCTGTTTTTCTTTGCCTTGTCCCACCCCAGCAGCAAATTCTCCCATTAAATCCTGCATGACATAATGGCTTATGGAGCCAAAGTCGGGGAAGAACCAACCCATTTGCTCTTGATCCATTTTCTGGCTACAGAATTAATGACTTGCAATGTATTTTTCCCTTTTTCCAGTCCCTCCAGTGATCGAGGGCGATGCTGACACAGCCCAGAGCAGGCAGGTGGTTGCTGGGAATTCCCTGACGTTGGAGTGTAATGCTGCTGGCAACCCTGCCCCTCTGCTGTCCTGGCTGAAGGAGGGGGTTCCCGTGCAGGCCAGCGCCAGGCTCCGTGTCCTGGCTGGAGGGAGGAGGCTGGAGATCCTCAACGCCGGCGAGGCCGACCGGGGCCAGTACTGGTGTGTGGCCACAAGCGTAGCTGGGGAGCAAGAGATCAAGTATGAAGTTGAAATCTTAGGTGTGTGAGCAGCACAGCTACTGATTTATCACATTCCCATAACCCTGATGTGGACAGATTCCAACCCCCCCCGTGTTTGTACTTCTGTTGGTGTTGATATATGACAGATCAGTCAGCAGGCTCCATATTCAGCTGAACCTGAGCACTGCACAGCTTTGCTGTCCAGGGTCACAAGACAGTGTGAAGACTTTCAGGTTAGTTCTTGAAGGATTATTTTGCGTGTGGTTGGTAAATATTATTCTAAGTAACCCCTAAAAATCCTGCTACCTTGCCTTCATAGAAGAAAATCATAGATCCCCAAGGGTATCTGTAAAAATATCACGGAGTAGTGGTCTCTGGGAGAGGACACCCTTCTCTGAATTTGAGTTGTGTTGTTCAAATTTTGAACCTTCTCTTGAAAAAAATGCTTTTCCTTCTGTATCCCTTGAATCTTTTACCACAGTTTGCATCTCAGCAGTCCTTACTGACTGCCATGACGTAAATGAATTGTACAAAAATATGAATCACCGTCTCCTGACATGGAAGGGGTTCTTTATGAGCTGTAATGAACTGATACTTAGGCTTTGAGTTGCTCTCTTCGAGAACATAGTACTGAATGCAGGAGTAGAGCACCCATTCTGCTGCTCCAGGTGTATCTCACTGGTCTTGGTCAGTGGAGGAGATGTGTGGCAGTGTTCCCTTCCCAGAGGGGATGAGACACGGTGAAGAAGGACCTGGAAAAGGTTCCTCTGCACCTTTGTTCCCTCCTTCTGCTGGCAGGGAGTGCTGAAAGGCCCCCCATCGCCACCCATTCGTAAGGTTGTTCTGACAGAGTCTGGGAAAAACAACCAAATGAGAAACAGGAAAAAAAATCGAGAAGAGTGATTTAAAGCCACAAAATATTACTGGGTAAATGTTTCCCTTCATAAAGGAACTGAGGTTCCTAATGAATCAGTGTGTGTTTAACATTGCTATTTGAGAGAGACTTTCATGATATTTCAGATGCTTAAATGTTTCTGCTTGTGGATTTTCTCTCTTAAAGTCCCACCATTTGCGGAAGGTGGGGATGAGCTCTTGGACTACATTGTGATTCTCCACAGCCCTTTTGAGCTGGATTGTGCAGCAACAGGGACACCCTCACCAACTATGACGTGAGAGCACAAGTGTGACAGTAGAAAATAAATCTGCTGCTTGGTTAGGGGAGTGTGGAATTGAGCTTTATGAACCATCACCAATTGTTTGGTGATGGTTCATGAGCAGAGGACAAACTCCTGGCTCCGCTGAAGACAGCACTCACTGGGCAGCATCAGGATTTTATTTTACATGAGTTTGGTTTGTTGTGCCAGTATCCATGTCCTGAAGATGGGCATAGATAACAAGAGCAGACAAGACTCTCATTCCCATGCTAATGCACTTCTGTTCTGCCACCTGGGGTTGCTTTTGCTTTGGAGATTTCTCTCTCCCTCTGGTGGTACCTGCTGTCACCTTTCTGATGTCTTTCAGTGCCTGTTCCCCAATACTCCCTTCTGATAAACCATTTTGGTCCCTAGCACTCAGGAAAGTGGAATATGACATCTCCAAACTTCCTGGAAATGCAAATTGAGTTACTGAGCTGTTCTGTTTAATTTTCAGGAGTGTTGTAGATCTTTCTTTCACAGAGATCTGAGATTGAACTTTCTCTTTGACAGGTTGTTGAAAGATGGTCATCCAGTTGAAGAGGGAGCTGGGCTCAAGATCTTATCACAGGGACAGAAACTTGTCATCTCTCAAGCTGAAGTGTCAGACACAGGCCGCTATAAATGTGTGGCTGCAAATAAGGCAGGAGAACATGAGAAGGAATTTGATGTTACAGTGCATGGTAGGTTACTCAAGGGGGGGAAGCAGCAGACTGCTTCTATTTTTAATTCCTGGCAAGAAGGTGCTCCAACCTCCTGTAAATGCTTATTTGTATTAGTGACCTGAAAAATTGTAGATGAGATTAGATGAAGTAGAATCATAGAATAGTTTGGGTTGGAAGAGACCTTAAAGTCCATCTCATCCCCACCCCCTGCCATGGGCAGGGACACCTCCCACTAGAGCAGGTTGTCCTGATCTAGAAGTAGATATAGAACTGCACTTACCTGTGGGGTATTGTTTCTATATATTTAAATGTACGTGTTCAAATGACACTTGATTTTTGTTTCTGGTACTTCTTGCAGTTCCTCCAACCATCAAATCAACTGGGCCTTCCGAGAGCTGTTGTGATCCACAAGCCTGTGACACTGCAGTGCATAGCCAGTGGCATTCCCAGCCCTTCCATAACCTGGTTAAAAGATGGACAGCCAGTAAACACAGCCAGAGGAAATCTCAGAGTAAGCATGACTCTTTTATGGGATCCAAACCATGAAAGATAGTTACAATGGTAGTGCTTCTTTTCCTGGTGCTTCCCTCAGGCTGTGATATAAAGATGCTAAAGATCCACCCTGGAGAAGAAGGGGTCTTTTGCCTGCCCAGGGTGGTATCTCTGGTTATAGCAGGGTTTAGTAGACTGAATCCCATTAGACACCTCATATCAGAGCAGTCCAGGGCTGGAAATTCAGCATCTGGCTCCTTCCAGTGCTACGTGAACCTTTCAAGGTGTGGCTGTCTGCTGGTTGTGAGGTGGCTCTGCCCACTTGTCCCTGAGAGGTGGCATTAGATGAGCTGTTCTGTGATTGCTGCCATTGCAGCAGCTGCCTGTAATTCCCTTCTGAGGGTGAGATCCTGCCTTTCCCTGCAGAGCCCTTCCCAGTGCTGCCACGCTCCAGGGGGTTGATTGCTCGCCATGGCTTTGATTTACTGTGGGCTGCAGCAGCTTTTGACCTCTTGCCTGCAGTCTCCTCTGCACTTTGCTTGCCTGCCCCGCTGCCGAATGGGTCTCCTTACACTTGTGCAGCTCCTGATGCTGATGTCCCAGGAACACTGAAGTCTCTGAACTCCCAGACAGCCCTTCCCTGGTTAGAGGGCAGCCGACCCTGGCGCTGCTCCGTGCCAGTGTGCGCTCTGCCCTGGCACGGGATGGCTCTGCCTGGGCCGGTGTGTCCATGTGGCTCTGTTTTTGGTACAGCTGGAGTCCTCCGGCCGTGCTCTGCAGCTGGGCAGGGCCCTGCCCCAGGATGCTGCCCAGTACACCTGTGTGGCCACCAACGCTGCCGGAGAGGCCCAACAGCACCTTCCGCTCCACGTGCATGGTAACGTCTCTCCCTCGGCAACGCC